TCCCCTTCAGAGCAGCAGGTGCTCTTAACTGCCAAGGCCACTCTCCAGCCCCACGTTTTCTATTTTTGAAGGTACTAGGTTATTTGTTGAGAAGATCGTGTTGTCGTTCCATCGAGTGTAGGAAGCAAGGAGCAGAGCTCTCTAGCATGTCAAGGAGAGCTTTCCACCCCTTTGCAGTGTGATGAGGATTCCCTGGAAATGTGGAACACCATGGCGATAGTGATATTGTCTCCTGATGTGGGAGCCCCTAGCTCCCAACCCCAGCATCGCTCTGGTTTCTGGCTATAACTTTTGCTGTGTCCACATTATGGGACCAGATATTTCCCTCAAAGGAAAGGGAGAGACTGGGACACCAGGTATTAGAGGGAAAGGAAAATGATGTGGCTTTTGCAATGACAGAGAAGATCTGTCCATGATCTTAGTGAAGTGACCCATAATGATATTGGTGTCTGTTTTCTGGAGAAATGTCCCTGACCAGCTTTTCCTTATGGTCTCCAGCACAGGCACAATTTGAGCAGACAGGCGCAGTCCCTTCCAGTAAGACACAAAGATACAGGACTGGCAGCCCGTACATTTTGTTGCAGAGAAGGAAAAAAAAACCCTGGGATTATTCGAGTTTCTCTCAGTAGGGATGCAACTGGTTTTTTTTTAAAAGACCATTTATTTCTCATGCATGTGTTTATGTTCGTCATGTGTGTGCAGGTGCCATGATATCCTGAAGAAGGTGTCAGATCTCTGGGAACTGGAGTTACAGGAAACAATGAGCCATCTTGTGTGGGCGCTGGGAATTGAACCTAGGTCCTCTGCAAGGGCAGCAAGCACTTGACCTCTAAGTATTTCCAGTCTTGAAGTGAGTTTTCACAAGGGCTTTGTCTATGATCTCCAATGGGAGCAGATACAGTTGCCATCAATTAGGAATTGCCAGGACTGAGGCCACGGAGCTAGTTCATGAGTGTGCCCCAATGCCACTGTGCAGTGAAACAGGCATGGCTGTTGCTGGAGAGTTCTCTGTGAAGTCTCCATGAGGAGAGCGCCTTTTCCTTTTCAGGCAGGGTTTCACTTAGCCCAGGTTGGCTCCCATTCATTGTGTAGCCAACAATGACTTTCAATTTTTGATCTCCTAGCTCCACCTCCCAAATGCTCAGATCCTAGGACTGTATCATCACACCTAGTTTATGGAAATTAAATTTTATAATAGTCAAAGTTGCAATAAGAGCCTTTATGTATGGGAAAATATTGTACTGGAAATTACCTTCTGTGGGTGTCAAGTGAGCAAATCCATCCACAAGGGTTTAAAACTGAGGGAAGGGGTTGTGTGGAGCAGTGTTCTCTTATCACTTATGGCTCTTATTGTCTCAACCAAAACTAAGGGTTTGGAAAGCCAAGCTTTGCTTAGGAGTCAACTTTCATATCCATCCCTGATGCTTGGTTATGCTTGGTCATGTTTGGGTCATTTGCAAGCTTCAAAGACTCAGCGAGTGCCAGGCAGACATCCAAGCTGCCCTGAACCATGCTTCACAATGGATTTCCATCCCCTTAAACACCTTAAACACCAGTTTTGCTTTTCCACTCAGGTGCCTAAAATTGTTCATCAAATAGATTATGGTGGGTTATTAGACTTGGATCAATCTTGGGGAGGTCATTCAAACCACATAGTTTAATCATTTCACCACTGGCTACTTAGCATGAAAATCTGCCAAGTCATTTCCTTGGTGCTTAGTTCTTATTGTGCTTGCTGCTGGGTTAAACATCAGCTTGCTGTTTATGAACCACTGGTTTCTTCTGTAGAGGTCTGAAAATTCCTCCTACTCAGGTCAACAGAATCATCTTAAAGTCACAGAACCCTGTACTTGACAGAGTCTCTGCCATGCATGTTCTTGAAGACCCCTGTCCCAAACCATTAACTGTAAGAGACAAGACTTAGAGTGGCCATGGTCAAAGCCCTGATAGGCGACAAAACAGTGATGCATTTGGTAAGGAAAGTTGTTCGTGTTCATGACCTACAACTCTTATGAGGTGGGTCTTGTTGTGTTGCCCATGTTGACCAAACCTCGTGGTCTGGATTGATCCTCCTGCCAGCCTCCTGGTTAGCTAGGACTACACAGGCTGGCCCACTCTGTCTGAGTGTTGCATATAACCCTTACATATGTTAGGAGTATGACTGATGTTGTTCTACTAGGACTAATATTTTTATGAATGTTATATAATTTCTGAGACACATTAACAATAACATATCCCTATAAAATAACTGGAAATTACATCATTACATGCTTTTCAGCTATGTTTCCTATGTAATTTAATATAAGCCCAATTAATTTAATTTGTCTGCTTTTATACATAGAATAATCTTTTCGAGATATTCCAAGGATCCATTGGGAGAAACCTGCAAATTATTTAACTCACGGTCAAGAAAGATATTTGGGTCTGGTGAAGTAGCTCCGTAGTTAAGAGCACTACCTGCTTTTCCATAAGACCTGGGTTTGATTTCAGTATCCACATGGCAGCTCTTATGTGATACATGTTACATGTCAGAGTTACATGCCTGTAGCTCCAGTTCCAGGTGATCAAAAACTGTCTTCTGGCCTCTGCCAGCACCAGGCATGGATGTGGTATACTCACATATGCAGCCAAGACACCCATGCACTTAAAATTTAACAGAAACTAATTTTACTCTGATTTGATTTGGGGAACTCCAGCAAAATTTCAAAGGTTTAAAACACTTATTCGAGGTCATATCAGGTAAAAACTGTCCCTTTTCAACCCAAGTGAACTTAGCACTTCACAGGCAAATGCAAACCTCCCACTGTTGCCTTAACTTAGGTCTTTTACAGAGGACTGGGGTTCTTCATGTGAACTATAGCTTAACAGGTAAAGTGTGAAGCACAGTAAAAATGGGGATCCATGTTTTCTAGGCCAAGCACCCCAAGTTTAAAGTAAGATCCTCCACAGTATCCAGCCCTGCTGACAAGGGAAAGGAGGCTGTACTGCTTAGAACTAATGTGCTAATATTCAAAAGGAGCAAAAGGACAGCCAGCATGCTAAGGAAACCTCATCGTTTTAACAGCAAGAATGCAACTGTAGTATTGCAGTGAACCTTAGACACTAATGCTTACATTTTAGGAAAACTTGAAGGACTTCCCTTCTAATCTCAGCAAACATGGTCACATGTCCACAACGCAGGTGACCTGACACCTGGAGTTGGCTGCAGAGGGCTCAGCAAAGCTGCACCCGGATGAGGGAGTCAGAAAGGCTTCCCACAGTAGGCAGGACTGACATAGGAGCAATACAAATTACCTAAGATATCTAAAGACAAGCAAGCAGCATATACAGAATATGTGTGTAAATGCTTACTCTGGCGTGTTGTATAACCATGGAAATTGTTTAGAAAAGCACATCACCTAATGTCAAACCATCCAGTGAGAATTGGTGATTGTCAGAAGTAGTTCATGGAAAACACAAGCAAGCACATTTTTGTAGCCTGACTACAGGTGTGTGACTTCCTTAGCAAAAGTACCCCTTATATCTTACTAAGCAAAACTGTTTTTACACACACACACACACACACACACACACACACAAATCATGTACAAGTCATTATAGTGATTTTCCTTCAAATATATCTGTAGGCAGAATTTTCTGTACCACCAGCCAGCTCCCAGATAACCACCCAGATAGTTATTACTAATTATAAATGCTCAGCTTATAGCTTTGACTTGTTGCTAAATAAATCTTACAATTTAAATTAACCCATATTTCTTATCTATGTTATACCATGTGACTCAGTACCTTTCTCAGTATGACATGTCCATCTTGCTTCTCTTTGAGTTTCCTGGTGACTCAGCCCTTCTCCATCCCAGCATCCTCTCTTCCTGGAAATTCTATTAGCCATTTAGCTTTTTATTAAAACAATGCAAATGACACATATTCACAGTGTTCAAAAAGATTATTCCACAGCAAATATTTTATTTCATTGATTTTTTTTGAGACAGTGTTTCTCTGAATAGCCTTGGCTGTCCTGGAACTTGCTCTGTAGACCAGGCTGGCCTCAAACTCAGAGACCTACTTGCTGCTCCTGAGTGCTGGGATTAAAGATATGTAGCACCACTACCTGGCAAAATATTTTGATATACTTCATCCCATTGTTTTTACCTTTTCCTAGTTTGGAAATATATACACAGAAAAATGTGTGGACTATGTAATTAATAAGCAGAAAGGAAAATCCAACATTCATTCTCTAGTATAGATACTGCTTGTATCAAAAGCTCTTTCTCATAAGCTTATCCCTCCCAGAATTCCACAGTGTTGAATCCTCACTCTATGGCCAACGTTTCCACTTGTAGAGAGTGCAGGTTGACTTTGTGTGATTATTGAAATATGTGTCCTTGTATTTAAAATCCCAAAGTTACAGAAAAGCAGCCAGGCAGTAGAATGAACTTTATCACACTCCTTACCTAGATTGACAAGTTCAGTATTTTACTATGTTTTCCTTGAATCTTAATCTCCATATATGCGTATATGACATGTATGTACATGTACATGAGTGTGGGTATATTTGCCGAACCATTAAAATCAATGTGAAATGCTGGTTTTGGAAAGAAAATATGCAAAACCATTTCACAGCTAAGGCTTTCTTAAGGGAAAGAACTGAAAACAAAAAACAAAAAAATTACATAATTTTTACACTAGGAATGGAGGTCTATGCCTCTAAGCCCAGTGCTTCGTTGGGGGAGGGTGCAGGAGGAACAGGAGTTCAAGGCCATTCTTGGCTACATGCTATATGATGTAAAAATTGCAGGCTGCACGTAGGTAACACCCAGGGGATCACACTGTTCTCTCGATGATTGTATTACCATTGTAGATTTCTCTGAACTGAAGGTCTTAAAGAATCCACTCTTACATTGCCCCCCCACCCTTCTGTGGTGCAAAGTAATGTGTTACCACTCTTTTTATACATTGATTAACTACTGTAAATAAAACACTTTTGTCTTTTTAAATTTTAGGGAATGAGTGTTGCTATACTGGGACCCACATTTCAAGACCTGGCAGAGAACGTGAACAGAAATATCAGCAGCCTGTCTCTTATATTTGTGGGCCGTGCCTCTGGGGTATTGTGTGGCACCATGATTGGTGGGGTTCTCTTTGACCACATGAATCAGTACTTTCTCTTGGGTGAGTAAACACCAGCCTTTGCTGTTCTCTGCCTGTCCTGACTTTACACCTTAGTTCTCACGTGGCAAGCACAGGCTGCAGAATGCTTGACAACAGAAGTGGACAGAGCTCAGGTGTCTTCCCTGGCAACCGGGCTTCTAGACCCCCTGCCCTTACCTTGGCAGCTGGAAGGAGTCTGTGCTGAACCCTCTGGAAACATAACTGGCCCTTGGGAGTGAGTGTTGGCAACCCTGGAATGCTGACCTTTCCTGTAATGTGGGCTCTGCTCTAAAACCACTTGACCAGGAAGCTTTGCTTATGGGGGGTAGGCGGGTCTTCTGGGGCCATAGGGGTCAGAATGAGTTCCTGGAACCTGGACAGGCTCTGTGGATTTGGGATTGAACATAAAGGGACAGGGGACTGTGAGTGAAATGATATAGACCGTGCTTTTGTCCCAGTTTCCCATTAAATTGACACAGTTAAGGAAAATTTAGATGAATGTTACAAGACACAAAGAAAGGAAAATAAGTTATTGCTGATGGTTAACTACCTGTCCCTTCATCTGTTTCCCCAAACTAATTAATTTAGCAGCATTTAAGCAGGAACTATATACTGGAAGCATTGTTAGGGTACATCTAAAAATTCTCCCAGTTTCTTAAATGTGTGACAGTAAATAATTTCTGGCATGTCTTCTATGCTATAAAACTCTGCTGTATAATTTATTATGATTACTAATGGTACCATAAACCTGTTTGGGTCATAAGTTACAAAAGCCTCACAGAATTTACATTATTTTACATAACCACTGTAGAAGTTGTAACTCTCATTGTTAATTCAATCTTATTTTTCGTCTTCTTATAGGTTTGATGATCCTGAGGGATACAGTTTTCATAGCTTATTTTCATTCTTAATGTTAAAGCTTATTTTTGCAGTGGGGACTCGTACATGCTAGACACGCAAGCATTCTACTGCTGAGCTATGTTCCCAGCTCCTACAGCTGAAGTTTTTACTTTTCTCCCCAGGGATGTCAATGGTGGCAACGACAGTGGGCCTTTATCTCATCCCTTTCTGCAAGACAGAAGTCTTATTGATCATTACCATGTCTGTCTTTGGGGCTGCCATTGGTGCCGTGGATACAGGTGTGTGAAGACAACAGTGTCAGCTCCAGGGGCGGGAACTCCACTAGAAAAGTACAGTAGATGATATCAACTGTCCCTTGAATACTTTTAAAATGATGTAGATGTACATGAGTGACCCCATGACAACAGAAGTGAACAGTGCTCATTCAGACAGAACACCCTTGTAGCTGCTGCACTTGGTGCTGGTTTGGGCGTTTTTGAACAGCCAGCTACACAGGTAGACTTCACGGCTTTGTTCTATGGGAGACGGATTTGCAGGAGCTACCCTGAGAAAGGCCACCTGTAGTTGCGGTGTGGGTGAAATGGACTTGTGTTTGGGGTTAAATTTTACCATTGCAAATAAGAGGAGTTGATGGTTTTAAACAAGCACAGGGCCATAATTTGTCTAAGAAAACATAGAAGCAGACATACAGTTATATATACTCCATTTTCTGAGCTAAGAGAAACTCTGTGCTGCTTTCTTTATTTCCTGCTAAATTTTCCTAGAGGTTCTAAATCTCCACAGGTATAGCTTTTCTGTTTGTCAGTGTCTATTTGAGAACTTACTAAGTACCACACATGATATGAACCTTCCTTCAATTTCTGCTCTCTAGCTCTCCCTTGATGTTCTTTTTCTTGTAGTATGTTCTTTCTTGTAGCGTGAATTTTAATTGTTCTTAATAATAAAAACTCAGAGTCAGATATTGGAGTTGAAGCTGAAGATCAGAGGAGCAGAGAGGCCAGCCACTATAGTTCTCACCTCTACCAATGCTCAGACAAAGGGGAGATGCTGTTCTCAGACTGCATCCCCAGACTTATGGGGGGAGGTCCTTCTGTATGCTGCAAATATGTGTTGCTTTTATTGATTGGTGAGTAAAGCCAATGGACATGTGGGATGTAGCTAGGTGGGGATTCTGAACAAAGACAGGGAAAAGAAAGACAACAGAGAGATGCCATGTAGTTACAAGGAATGTAGGACAGCCAGGCATTCTCCTGTATGCCAAGACCACATGGAGACACACAGATTAATAGAAATGGGTTAATAATTAAGAGAGAGCTAGCCAATAAAAAGCCTGATCCATCAGCCAGACGGTTTATAATATATCTGCTGCTGTGTGACGATTTGGGACTAAATGACTACATGGGGGGGGGGGGGACAGAAACTTCCATTGACATCAGACTGCTTAGATTGCCCTACTCCTCAGACTGCATGTCTCTCTTATCTCCTGCCACCTTATATTCCTCTCCTCCGCCATATGGCTCCTGTCTCCACCTCCTCAGTGCTGGGATTAAAGGTGTGTCACTCCAAGTGCTGGGATCACCTTTGTATGCACTCTGTTTCTCTTTTAGACTGGATCAATTTTGTGTAGCCCAGGGTGGACTTGAACTAACAGAGATCCATCTGCCTCTGTCTCCCATGTGTTGGGAATTAAAAGTGTGTGTCACCTTTAATTTCTATGGCTAACTACTGTGGTTGCTGGGATTAAAGTTGTGTATCACCACTTCCTGGTCTCTATGGCTAAACAAATATCACCAATATTAGTCTCATATAATATTACCTGATTACAGTTTTCCCTCACTCTGCTCCTCCAAGCCCTCCCTACCACCTTTCTCATCTAGATCTACTCCCTTTCTGTCTCTCACTAGAAAAGGACAAGCTCTTAGGGGATAATAATGAAATTAGTATAATGTAATATATGTTAAAAGAAAAACTTGTACATTGGACTTGGACAAAGCAACAAACAGAAGGAAAGGAGCCCAAGAGAAGGCACAGGAACAGAGCCCACTCCTTCACGTTCAGGAGTCCCATAAAGACACTGAACTGGGAGCCATAACGTCTATGAAAAGGACCTGTACATGCTGTCTCAGTCTCTCTGAGTTCATATGAGCTTTGCTCATGCTGATTTAGAGGGCCTTGTTTTCTTAGTTCCCTCTATCCCTCTGGCTCTTAGTCTTCCTGTGTCATCTTCAGCTGGGTTCCTTGAGCTCTGAGGGGAAGGATTTGATGGAGACATCATCTAGGGCTAAGTGTTCCAAGGTCAGTCAGTCAGTCGGTTTGTCTGTCTGTCAGTCTCTGTCTCTCTGTCTCTGTCAGTCTCTGTCTCTGTTTGTGTATGTGTGTGTGTGTGTGTGTGTGTGTGTGTGTGTGTGTTCGCTGTCTGTGGGTCTCTGTGTTTGTTCCAATCTACTGCAGGAAGATTCTGTGATGATGGCCAAGCGAGGCCCTGCTCTGCTTCATGCAATATTTTATAACTCAGGTTTCATTTGTTTGCAGAGTTACAAAGTAAAATTATGTGCTTATCCAAAGCAACTGGTTAAAATAAAATAGCCAATGACTTGTTGCTTAGGGTTTTCCCCTTGCCAGTGTTCAGACAGTGTTGTGTGGATTCAGAAAGATGTGCCAGTTTCCTGTAGCTGGAACGCCAGAGCCTAGAGCATTCAGGTTCCCGATGGAATGTTTTACATTTATTTCATCCACAGCGTTCAAGTGGTTGCAAGAAAGCTTTGTTATTTGGCCTCTATCTGATGATAAAACTTTTCCTACTCAACACAAATAGTTCAAACACATTCAATGAATAACTCTATGGTATTGCTCCCCGGTGTGGTGTCAGCACTGTTTATAGCAGCCCTCTGCTGGTGTTCCTGGATCCAGGATGGTAGTACTCCACCACCTTGTAGCATTCCATGTGTGAGTCTGAGATATTACATCACACAGTTTTCTGGTGTTCGTGGGTCAGGTCCTTAATCAGAGTCACTTGGGGCCAATGTTGGCTTACTAAAAATGTCACAGCATTTCTCCCATGTGACCCAGACTCAGCTTCTTTACATAGTAAGGACCTGTTGGGTTTTCCCTGCACTAACTGACAGTTTAACTTTAACCCTAACCCATGTTTCACTGGCAGGTGCAAACGTCCTCATCTTGGCTCTATGGGGTGACAAAGGAGCCCCACACATGCAGGCCTTGCACTTCAGTTTTGCCTTGGGTGCTGTCCTGGCTCCCCTGTTGGCTAAATTGGCCTGGGGAACATCAGCATCCACTCAGAACCACACAGCGCCTGGCTTTGACCCTCTAGTGTTGAACGGATCCTCCAAAGCTACCACAGACTCTCTGTTTGCAGTTCCTGAGAACATGAACCTGCTGTGGGCATATGCTTCCATTGGCACCTATATTTTAGTAGTTTCTCTCTTTCTGTTTGGTCTGTTTTGTATTAAACACTCAAGACAGAAAAAATCCACGGCATCTGCTCAGAGAGCTCGAAGAGCTAAATATCACAGGGCCCTGCTCTGTCTCCTCTTCATGTTCTTCTTCTTTTATGTTGGAGCCGAGGTGACATTCGGCTCTTACATATTCTCCTTCGCCACCACCCATGTTGGCATGGAAGAAAGTGAAGCAGCCGGCTTGAACTCCATCTTCTGGGGGACCTTTGCTGCCTGCAGGGGCCTGGCCATCTTCTTTGCAACAGTCCTAAAGCCTGGAACCATGATTGTGTTGAGTAACATTGGCAGCCTTGTCTCATCTTTCTTTCTGGTGCTTTTTGACAAGAGCCCTCTTTGTCTCTGGATCGCAACTTCTGTGTATGGAGCCTCGATGGCAACCACGTTTCCCAGTGGAGTTTCCTGGATTGAGCAGTACACCAGCATCAGCGGGAAATCTGCAGCATCCTTTGTAATTGGTGCTGCTCTAGGAGATATGGTGATGCCTGCAGTAATTGGAATTCTTCAAGGACACTACCCAGATCTACCAATCGTTCTGTACACCTGTCTGGGGTCGGCCATATTCACTGCTGTTTTATTTCCTGTGATGTATAAGTTAGCCACCTTACCCCTGGAACACCCACACAAAGGAAAAAGAAAACAAGAGGACCAGAAAGCTTTGTCCACTAGTTCTCGGCTATGAGCAAGAGACTAAATGGGAAGATACAAAACAGAAAGGGGTGAAATGGATTTTGAAGTAGTTGAAATGAGTGACCCAATGATACCATCTGTAAGGGGGTCATCTCAAGATGTTCTGCTAGAACCCACAGAAGTGTCCTTCTACTGTACCCTCTGCAGTTAATAAGGGCAAAACTCCTGAGACACTCGTGGACAAAAGGGACATATACTTAGAGATGATGAAATACTTAGTGACTTTGCTGAATAAAGAGTTCAATCAGCTGAAGAGGGAAGATTTTTCAATACCCACTGCAGTCAAGCTTTCTGGGTCTACTTATAGAGTGAGCTAGAAAATTGAAATCTTCTAAATTTTCAGTCTTCCATAAACTACCAAGTGGTCTCATACGTTAAGATCTTGCTAGGAGACTTGTTTTGACAGATGAATAAGTAGGTGATGTTTATGGTCCCTACCTTTCAGAGAATATGAAGAAGGCAGTTGGGGTTGGGAAGTTGCGAGCATTCCAACATAGATGGATTTGCTCAGCAATAATCACCCACCTGCACTCTGCCAAGTGTTCCAGAACGGTCTTTGTGAATGTATTCTGTAAGGGTCATATGTTTCCACCACCACTGCTGGGTTGGGTCACTGTGTGCCAGTGACAATGACTGATTTCAGGTTAAATCTGTACATCATGAAGTTTTTGCAAGATGTCTCCTAGAAATTAATGGATGCTTTTTAGCTCACTCATCATTGCAAATACTGAGTGAATCAAAGATAATGAAAAGCTTAACTGAGGATGTGATACAGTTGCCCTTTAATGTATTCAGTACTCAATATGCTTATGATACATTCTATTTTCAATGCAGAGTTGAATCCATCATAAGGTACACCCTCCATACTTTTGACACCTCTGAAATCAGGATGTACCTTACAGTCAATGATCATTTGTCATTGGGACAGAGTTACCCGACAGTGTTTTCTCTTATACATATATAAAATAATGATCCATCCAATAAAATAGGCCCCAGTGCAAGATTCTCTGTCATACTTCAGAGGTCTCAAACATCTGGAGTGTTTGCTTGAATGTTCAAGCCCAGTGTTTGAGACTCAAGGCAAACTTTCAGCCGTGAGCTTTTCTAAAGATTGAAAGAGACAGGCATGGTAGCTCATGGTGGCATGAGTTCCAGGCTAGCCTCAAATACAGTCAGACCCTGTCTTTAAGCAAAAGATGTGAATACTTCCAAACTACCATGGCAGGGCAGTCACATTAACATCTCCTCTAACAGAATAAAAATAATCAGACCACAAGACGAACCCACAAGGGAAGACACTAAATCCTTTAGCTCCATGCACAGCATAAGAGGTATGAGAAGGCAAGTTGGGGGCCCCTGTATCCTGGATTTGCTGTTTGTAAGACACATGGCAATTCTCTTTGGCTGGATCTGTTCACTGCCTATAGCTTGGTACCTTTGTCCTGGTCTTGGCAGTCTGCATTCCTGTGGAATATTTGATAGTTTTGCTTTCCTTCCTACAGCTTCATGTCATTGCCCTGTAAGAGAATATGTGTGAGCATTCTGATCCTTATACACATGCCCTGGCCTCCTGGGACTTCCTTTGAAATGCTGGTGGAAGCCCAGATAACCCATAACTCTTTTCTTCTGCATGCATGCAAAATCAGCATCCATTGATCTGCTGCCATGGTGAACTCTGCCTGAGTCTCCATGAAATCAGTATTCATGGATGTTGCTGAGGTCTACTGCCATGGTGAACTCATCCTGAATTCCCATGAAACCAGCATCCATGGATGCTGCTGAGGTCTGCTGTCATGGTGAACTATACCTGAGTCCCCATGGACCCAGACTGTACCAGCTTCTTGGTGTTTTGCTGGCTGAACATGGGATTTCTAGTTACTTTTCTGTTGCTGTGATAAAATGCCCAAGCAAAAGCAACTTATAAAATAGAGCATTTATTCAGGCTCATAGTTTGCGGGTTTAACCTGCCATGGCTGAAGAACAGAGCTTGAGGCAGCTGATCCTCCCATCTCCGTCTCTCTAGTGCTGTGATTACAGATGTGTCCCCAACACTGCTGCAATTACATGTGTGTCCTCAACACTGCTGCGATTACAGGTGTGTCCCCAACACCTGGCCTACAGATAATCTCTTCTTGGTCAATATGTGAGTGACTATATTCCCAGAATACCAATGCACATTGCCCTAAACAACTTGTTTTTGAGTCAAGCAGTTTTATGAAGACTTTACAGAACAAAACACAGTCATAAATCAAGGCATTTTTAAATACATTGCTGGGAATCCCAAGCAAGCAGGCTCAATACAGTCAGGAAATCTCTCTTAGAGGCATCATATACTATCCATGACCACCTGTGCTTCCGGGATTGTGGAAATGAACCATCTGTGAACTTAAGACATCCCCACATCTGATGGTCTGAAGGGGTTGGGGCAGACACATGCAGGGGAGGACAATGAAAGGAATAAGGGTCTCTGAGGTTGCAACATTCCAGTCTCCACCATCTTCCCAACCAATCAGCCTTCACCACACCTGAATGTGGCTTTTATTGTTTTGCTGAGTTTACACAGGTCACTCTGGGAAGTCACTTCTTGGACTATGAGGCCACGGGGCCAATTCAATTCAAGCCTCCAGGGAATTTCAGCACAGAACTTGGAATAGTAAACCCCAGAGAATACAGACAGACCTCCAATCACTGAGATAAACTTAATCTCACTCTCTATTCCATGTAATGGAAAAGTCCATTCAGTTTCATATGTTAGGTGTTAAAGGCAAGGCAATAATGGTAGTCTTTATGCCACCTCAAGCTAGATCTCCTTTTATAATAGACGAGTAAAGAAGATGGCCAGTGGTCCCCTGTATCCAGGCTTTTGAGGCATGAAGTCACCCATTCTCAACCTGTGGGCTGCAAACTCTTTGTAGGGGTCCCATGTCAGATATATACATTACAATTCATAAGTAGCAAAATTACAGCTACAAAGTAGCAACAAAACAATCTTAAGGTTGGGGGTCAGAACAACATGAGGAACTGTATTAAAGGGTCTTGGGGTCAGAAAGATAGGAGCTACTGCTCTAAGTGAAAAAGTCCAAACAACATCAGGAATGTCAAAAAGTCCCTGTCCTTATAGCCCTGGTTAGGCCAGAGTTTCTGCTGCTGTGACCACAGAAAGGGCTGGAAAAACAGGTGATCATATGGGAAAGAACCACCAGGCCTCTCCCAGTATGCTTCAAATTCAGCTTTCTGGGTGGTTTTCATCATTAGGGTTGGTGTTTTGTTTTTAAGAAAAAGAAAGAAGAAGGAACTATCAAGTTGAGAAAATATTTTTGGTTACAATAATAATAATCAAGAAAAATGAAATGCCTTTTATATCATCAAATAAGATTTTATTTCAAAGTAAAGGATTACTACAAAATGGAGACAGAGAGAAGTAAGGCCTGAAACAAAAAGAACAAAAATATCTATGATAGATATAATTTAAGAAAGGTGGTATAGTTATGACTAAGTTTGCTATAATTAAATATTGTTAATTTTTTACATAAGGTCAAAACTTATTGTTTTAATATAAATCTGAAATCTAATTCTGTTTAAAATAATTTAATCTGGGCAGTGGTGGTACACATCTTTGATTCTAACACTAGGAAGGCAGAGGCAAGCAGATCTCTGTGAGTTCAAGGCCAGCCTGGTTCAAACACAGAGCGTTCCAGGACAGCCAAGGCTACATAGAGAAATAATGTCTTAAAGCTCCCCAGCCCCCCAAAAATTCATAATATATTAATCTGTTCTTAGCAGTATCTGTAGTATCTGCTTGTTTGTAATTTTTTGTTATTTTTATTTATTCATTTGTTTATTGAGGCTGGGTCTCACTATGTAGCCATGGCTAGCCTGGAACTCCCTGGTCAGGCAGGAAAGTTCCCTAAACTTGAGGGAAGCATGCTATCTCTACCCTTGTCTTTCTTGAGCTCTACAGTTACTCTCTAGTCACTTTTAGGGAGCCATTAGTACCCTGCTCTCCCGAAGGACCCTGTCTGGTCCATGGCACAGCCCTACTCGACTGCATACGTTACAGTCTGGCTCCCAATTTCCAGTTCGTAGAAATTATCCTAGCTAGGGGTTCTATTGCTGTGAAGAGACACCATGACCATGGCAAGGAAAGCCTTAAAGTGGGGCTGCCTTACAGTTTCAGAGGTCTCGTTCATTATTGTTGTGGCAGGAAACATGGCATCAGGCAGACATGGTGCTGGAGGAGGAGCTGAGTTCTACATCTTGATCCACAGGCAGCAGAAGGAGAAGCTGTGCGCCACACTGGGCATAGCTTGAGCATATGAGACCTCAAAGCCTGTTTCCACAGTGACACACTTCCTCCAAGACCACTCCTACTTCAACAAGGCTATAACTTATAACCGTGCCACTCTCTATAGGTCAAACATTCAAACACATGAGTCTACTCAACCCACCATACGAATTATCACTAAAGAGCCTCTGTCTTGGGATATATGATTCTACAAGGAGGTTCTACTCACTAATATCCATAATAAGTGAGGGACTGAATCAGTTGAATCTGGCAGTGCTCTTGGATTAACTTAACTATTGTGGATATATCCCCCATCAAAACACAAAAACAAACAAACAAACAAAAAAACCAAAACCCAAAAAACCTCTCCACAACTCACGGGAAACATGATCACACCCATACATGGCAGCACACAGCTATAATCCCAGTATTTGGAAGGTAGAGACAGGAGGATCAGGAGTTCAAGGTCATTTTCAACTATATAGTAAGTTGAGTTCAAGGTCAGCCTGTATTACATGAAACTGTCTCAAGACAAAACAAAACCCAGCCTTGGCCTCCTCCCTAAAAGCCTGAACTACCTTCTTTAAAGTATTAACCAGGGTTGCATTAGGCAGTGGCTAACTTTAGATTACCTCTTAGGATAGCAAGGGGGGTCTTGCTGGTAACAAATTGGATGTGGCACTACATCAACATCTCAGGAATGATAGGGACATGTCTACATCAACACCTGGAGAATGATAGAGCCTGATATCTACATCAGCACCTAGGGAATGATAGAGACTGATGTCTACATCAACACCTCAGGAATGATAGAAACTTATGTCTACATCAACAGCTGTGGAATGACAGAGACCGATGTCTAAATCAACAGCTGAGGAATGATACAGACCAATGTCTACATCAACAGATGGGGAATGTTAGAGATCCACCTGGGGAATGATAGAGACTGGTATTCATGAGGTTT